AGCTATAGTTTCTTTGCTCCTTTCTTTTTGTTTTACTTTATCTTTATTGCTGGAAGTATTACCAATGTCCCTCCTTTTTCCCCATCGACACCCTCCTCCCCGCCCGCTCCCGCTGCGCCTGGGGCCAGGGTTGTGCATATATGTGCATGTCAGCTCTTCAGTTTCTCTCTTGCCACCCCCTCACCCCCTTCCCTCCGAGGGTTGTCTGCTCTCCTTTCTCTTTAAAAAACAAATTCTTTCCATCTGACCAAGTGAAATTGACGTCACTGCCAATTAAAGCCGGCAGCTCGTTGGCTACTCTGTTTCTATGTAACAAGCCTGACAGTTGCTTTTAAAAGAAACGTTATGAAATATTCTTCAATTAAGTGAGGACTTATTTAACAGAGAAATATTCTCGACGGGCTCTCGGTGTTATATAAGCTGAGCGCCCGAGTAATCTCCCGAGGCCGTTAGGCGCAGTCCTGACTTTACAGAGGTGACGGGGAGGGGGACAGAGAGGACAACGGACCCGCAGAGGGACGCTCCCCTGACGGCAGCTCGTCGCTCACTCACGGTAGGTGAGCTGCAGCGTGAGGTGGCCGGTGCCACCACGGAACACACGTCCGCAGGGCTTCTGCGGGGAGGTTTCTTCTGTCCACGTCATTGCTGACGGTCACCACGGTGGGGGGAAGCCACTCACACAGGCGCGCTGTGGCTCACGCGTCACCCTTCAGGTAACGGACCCCCACGGCAGCCACAATGCAAGGGCTAGGCTTCATGCCATTCGAAATCTTAAAGCAACGCTAGTTAGCACCCCAAGAACTCCAACACCAGCTTTCCTCTGAGGTTACCCAAACACGCACCCCCTCTCAGTAGAGCGCGCCCAGCCTGGGGAAGCAGGGGTGGCGTCTTCGTGGGGGCCGGAGTCGAAGTCGGCACTGCTGGGCGCCTACCATGGGCCGCGCACTGCGAAGGTCAGTCTCCTGTGTTCTTTCTTTGTTTCCTTTATTGATTTTAGAGAGAGAGGAAGGGAAAGAGAGAAACATCGATGAGAGAACATCGACTGGCCGCCTCCTGCATGCCCCCCACTGGGGATCAGGCCCACAACCTGGGCATGTGTCCTGACCGGGAATCGAACGGGCAACCTCTTGGTGCAGGGTCAACGCTCAACCACTGAGCCACACCGGCTGGGCATAGTCCCCTATTTTCAATGACCTCAGTCCGGTGAGGGACACAGGGCATAACTGGGTAAGGAGAGGCTGACCGATGGAGGTCAAAGAAGTCTTCCTGCAGGGCTGACGCTGGAGACGAGGGCACAGGTAAGAGCACCCCAGGGAAAGGGGATCTGTTGTGGGGCTGAACACTGCAGGATGCTACTCACCATCCTGCTGCCGAAATAACACAGCGATACCCAAAGAGGAACTTCCCAAATCCCAGCGTGTGCCCTGAAGCTGCAGAACACGCGTACCCGAAACTGAAGACAGTCTCACAGCGGGTGAGGGTGATAATGGGCAGCACGGAGCTGGGCTGGGGGGGCAGGTGTCCTGCAGGCAACCTGGTGGCTTTTTAAATTATATGGATGATAAGTGATTCCGTTATATCCACAATGTAACAGTAAGAGAAGGTCTGGGGGTGTGCAGACTCTACAACTATACACCAGCATCTTTTTAAACTGTTTTCTCTCTGGAGTCCTACAGAACATTTAGTTCGTGGACCTCGAATTCGCTCCTCCCCACCAAAACCTTTTCTTTTTTTAATGCAGTTCTGATGAGTAGGGCTCTCGGGACACCACAAGTGCTTTTTAACAGAATAAGAACGGCTAGAATTTATCGAACACTTACTACGACCTACTGTGGTTCCAAGTACTCGGATTAATGACTCTCTTCTATCTCATTTGCCTTGTTATGTATGTCGGCACAGCAGTCTGAACAAAAATAAAAATGATTTTCCCAGCCAGTGTGGCTCAGTGGACTGAGCGTCGTCCCATGGACTGAGAGGTCCCGGTTCGATTCCCAGTCGGGGCACATGCGCGGGTTGTGGGCTTGATCCCCAGTACGGGGGGTGCAGGAGGTGGTCAATGGATGTTTCTCTCTCACATCAATGTTTCTCTCTCTTCCTCTCTCTTAAAAAATCAATAAAAACATATTTTAAAAAATAAAAATAATTCAACATCAAAACATCCAATATCAACCCTGGCCAGTTTGGCTCAGTGGTGGGCATTGGCCCATGGACCAAAGGGTCACGGGTTCAACTCCGCATCAAGGGCACGTACCTGGGTTGCAGGTTCAATCCCTGACCCCAACTGGGGTCCTGCGGGAGGCAACCATTCGATGTGTCTCTCTCACATCAATGTATCTCTCTCTCTCCCTCCCTCCCTTCCACTCTATCTAAAAATCAATGGAAAAAAATATATCCTTGGGTGAGGATTAACAAAAACAAAAACAAAAAATCCAACATGGGCCACTTCCTACATGACACACCAAGGGAACTGGACTAGAGGGTTTTTTCTAGCTCCCCATTGACATTTCCAAAATCGACATGCTGGTATCTTATGAAACCACTGCAGACGCATGCCCTGGGGTGTACCCACCCTGCTCCCACTGGGTGGCTGTTATCTACCTACTGCTACAGGACCGGTCACGGATGCACACCTGAGATCCGATCGTGGCTTCTCTGCCTCCTCGCTGTGTGAGCTTGAGTAGGCTATTCCTTTCCGCCATCATTTCACCTGGAAAATGGGGGTGATAGAAATACCAATTCCCCAGGATGCTGTCAAGATCCAATAAGGTTATGCGTAGTCAGCACTTTGCACAGTTCCCGGCACAGGGTCAACGCTCAGCTCATGGCCGCTCCATCCGTGACTCAGGACTGAGACAACTGGATCGGTTTTGCTCTCATCTCCAAAGCCCCACACCACCCAGATGAGGCCAGCACCCAGCTGGACCATCTACCCAACACCCTCAAGTCTTCGATGTCCGGCAAAGTCAACCTCTACACGAGGACCACCTCAGTGAGGCTGTCATGGCTCAGAAGGGCTTCACCTCTCTGACCCCCATCTCTGGACCTTGGGGCTCCGGACCTCCAGTCCTCAGACCCCTCCATTCCCAACCTCACTCCCCTTTTCTCCCCATCCTTTCTGGACTTCGGGGAATTCAACACAGAGAACCCCCAGGATACCTGCCCGGTCCCCATGCTAGCTGGTCAGCTCACTGGCTCCTCCCTCTTCCCTCTGGGCTACAAGGAAGAGCCCCCGGGTTGTCCTCTGTGAGCACCTGTGCTTTCAGAGGGCCCTGGGCTCCAGGTGTGTCCTCTCGCCTCCTCGAGGACTTTGATCAGGGGGCCATCTACCCCAGCCCCTCGGTACCCTCGATTCCTCTCGAGGATTCTTCCTCCCACACTCCGCCCCGGTAGGAACAAATCTGAGCGCCCCGGTCCTCCACCCAGCCTAGGCTGGGAGTTCAACATCGGCAGAAGCTGAAGCCCTCAGGGTCAGCTGGTGGGTCCCCAGGTGAACCCGAGAGGAGCTCCCACAGGTGTGCTGTGAAGAGCAGCCTGCGCGGGCTGCTGCTGTGGTCGGACACACGGGCCCTGGCCCGCGTGGCTCAGCTGGCTGGGTGTTGCCGGTTCGATTCCAGGTGGGGGCACGCAGGAGGCAACCTGTCGATTTTTCTCTCTCTCCTCCTGCCTTCCTTTCTCCTTAAAAATCTTTTTTAAAAAAAAGAAAGACCTACCAGTTACTAGGTTTTTTTCACTGTTATTGTTTTTTGGTTAATCCTCACACGAGAACTTTTCCATTGATTTTTTAGGTAGAGTGGAAGGGAGGGCGAGACAGACAGAGCACTGATGTGAGGGAGACACTTTGACCGGTTGCTTCCTGCACAATCCCGACCAGGGTTGGGACTGAAACTACAACCCAGGTATGTGCCCTTGACCAGAACTGAACCCGTGACCCTGCAGTCTTCGGCCAACACTAACTGCTGAGCCAAACCATCCAGAGCCAGTTACTAGGTTTTAAGTTAAAGCATCCCTATAATATTCCTATCACCATAAAGTTCATAACAGAGCCCAGGGTGCAGGGGCGCGGGGGACAGAGCCCAGGGTGCAGGGGACAGAGCCCAGGGTGCAGGGGCGCGGGGGACAGAGCCCAGGGTGCAGGGGCGCGGGGGATAGAGCCCGGGGTGCAGGGGCACAGGGGACAGAGCCCGGGGTGCAGGGGCGCGGGGCACACAGCCCAGGGTGCAGGGGCGCGGGGGACAGAGCCCAGGGTGCAGGGGCGCGGGGGATAGAGCCCGGGGTGCAGGGGCGCAGGGGACAGAGCCCAGGGTGCAGGGGACAGAGCCCAGGGTGCAGGGGCGCGGGGGACAGAGCCCGGGGTGCAGGGGCGCGGGGGACAGAGCCCGGGGTGCAGGGGCGCGGGGGACAGAGCCCGGGGTGCAGGGGCGCGGGGGACAGAGCCCGGGGTGCAGGGGTGCGCGGGACAGAGCCCGGGGTGCAGGGTGCAGGGGTGCAGGGGACAGATCCCAGGGTGCAGGGGCGCGGGGGACAGAGCCCAGGGTTCAGGCGCCTGCCACTCTCAGCACCAGTCAGTTGTACCAAACACCATAAAATACAAAATTACAGGAAATATAAACATCAATTTGTATTTCAAGTCTGCAACATTTTATTTACAAAAACAGGCTGGGAGGGACAGGGTTCACAGCCCCAGCCTCTGCGGGGGGTTCTGCGCCAGGGTCTAGGTTGTTTTTCCTAAGGGTGTTTGAAGCCGCAGTTAAGCTCCTTCAGCAGCATCGCGGTCACTAGAGGCTCAGGTGGAACGTGGGGCGTGGGGGAGGGGCTCAATGGGGAGGGGGACTCCGCCGGCACACAGCTGCTCTCAGAGCTGACGCTGGGGGGCTCCTGCCCTGGACACAAGCCCCCCCCCCTCGACATCACGCCCCCGGAGCTGGGGCTGGGGCTGTCTCCCGCTCCGAAGGACACTTGCTCACTGGCATGACAGGACTGGGTGCCGAGGTCGGGCGACACTAAGACATGACTCCGAAGACGGGGTTGTGGCGGCAGACGCTGGGGCCGACCTCCTCATAGTCCTTCTTGGTATGGCAGACCTGGAAGAACTCGGGCTGGGAGGCAAGGAGCAGGAGGATGTGAGCATCCTGCAGGAGGCCACACAGCACGTGGGGCGCAGCCAGTGCAGCACCCTCCCCCAGGCCCCTTCCCCAAACCCCTCCCCCAGGCCCCTTCCCCAAACCCCTCCCCCAGGCCCCTTCCCCAAACCCCTCTCCCAGGCCCCTCCCCAAACCCCCTCCCCCAGGCCCCACCCCAAACCCCCTCCCCCAGGCCCCTCCCCAAACCCCTCCCCCAAGTCCCCTCCCTAAGCCCCCTCCCCCAAACCCCCTCCTCAAACCCCCTCCCCCAGGCCCCTCCCCAAACCCCTCCCCCAGGCCTCTCCCCAAACCCCTCCCCCAAGCCTCCTCCCCAAACTCCCTCCTCAAACCCCCTCCCCCAGGCCCCTCCCCAAACCTCTCCCCCAGGCCCCTCCCCAACCCCCTCCCCCAGGCTCCTTCCCCAAACCGCTCCCCCAGGTCCTCCCCAAACTCCTCCCCCAGGCCCCTCCCCAAACCCCTCCCCCGGCCACTTCCCCCCCAACCCCCTCCCCCACCCTCCCTCCCCCAGACCTCCTTCCCCCAGGTCTGCTGTGTCTCTCTGACCTCCCCTAGCGCCCTCCCCCCACCTCCCTCCCCCAGCCCCCTCCTTCTCCCCCAGGCCTGGGCAGCTCCACCCCATCTAGGCACGTGTTAAAAACCTGCTCAGCCCGTTCAGGACCGACCTGCGCTCAGCCATTCCTTACCTATGCAGAGGCTGAGGGTGAGAACAATTACTTGGAAAAGACCCTGGAGCCCTGGCCAGTGTGGCTCAGCAGTTAGAGCACCGGCGGGTGGACAGAGGGGTCTGGGTTCCAGTCCATACCTGGGCTGCAGGTTTGATCCCCAGTGCAGGAGGCAACTGATCAATGTGTCTCTCTCACATAGATGTTTCTCTCCCTCCCTCCCTTCCACTCTATCTAAAAATTTCTAAAATGGAAAAGTATCCTCAGGTGAGGATTAACAAAAAAAAAAGTCACTGGAATTAGTGATTAAGGCAGCTGCTTCCCATTCTGTGTGGACTTCACTGATCCCTACTATCCGGCACCCTAATTAGCAAGGACCCTTGAGAACTAAGTGCCGTACGTTTTCCGTCTCAGAATTAAATGTGCACTGTCGGCCCCACACAGCACCCAACCTTCAGGGCGGGGGAGGACTTACGGTGGAGGCGAGCATGGAGCCCCCAAACCACACGGCGTAGCGCTGCGTGTGGTGCGCCATCACCTGCACCTCCACCGGGCGGGGCTGCAAGGGAAGGGCGTGGTCACTCGGACAGACGAGGGGCCTCCCACCCTGGCCCGCAGGCCCTTCACGTGCGACCCCGCTGTGGGCACCTATCTCAGAAAGGAAACTCCTCCTGCTAAACCCCAGTCCCCTGCCCCAGACCCCAGACCTTTCAACCCCACCCCAACCCACTAGCACCCAGCCTCCAGCAGCCCCCTACCCTCTAGATCACTACCCCCACCCCCCAATCCCTCCCCTCCCCCCTGAACCCGGCCCCAGCCCTCAGTCCCTCAGCCCTCAGCCCTCCGGCCTTTAGCCCCCACCCTAGCCCCCAGCCTAGGTGGGACAAAGAACAAAGCGGGCGAACAGGGAGGGCTTGCCCTGCAGGTGTGGCTCAGTGGCTGAGCATCGACCCTGCACCAAAAGGTTGCCAGTTCAAATCCCATCAGGGCACACGCCCAGGTTGTGGGCCTGACCCCCAGTCAGGGGGTGTGCTGGAGGCGGCCAATCCATGTTCTCTCTCATCGATGTTTCTCTCTCCCTCTCCCTTCCTCTCTCTCTCTCTAAAGATTAATAAAGAAAAAAATTTTAATAAAAATGTTAAAAATACAATAAAAACAGGAGGGCTCCTCTTTGGGAACACTCAAGGCATTTTAAAAGGGGGAAAAATCCAAGCAACTAACCCAGTTCATTTTTCTTACTGAACAAATGAGATTTTTTGTGTTGTAGCAATAATTCCAAATAACACTACGTGTCCCAAAAATGTTCTGAGAAATGGCATTTGCCAACGGGGTGATTCCAGCAGGCGAGGGCCTGTTCCCCTGTGCCCCACGACACCCCGGCTTGCTTAGGCCCACGACACCCCCTGGAGAAGGCTCCCGGTGGCGGACACACTGGTCACTCCCCGCTAAGACCAGGCATTTCCGTTTACGGAGAATGTCCCCAAAGGACATCAGGGACCCTCCGCGCACAGAGGTCCTGTCTCCCTGGACACGAGTAAATGTGCTGGTCGACCTGGGTGGGCGGGGGCAGGAACTGGCAGCCGCGGCATCAGCGGTCCCATCCGTCCCCACTACACACCGGCGGAGGGCACACGACCACCCCGCACGGCACCCAGTGTGGCTGAGACGGCCACTCAGACACCCTGATCTCCGCTGCCCAGACAAGCAGCCCCCACCCCTTCCCGGCGGTGCTCGGAGGGAGAGCTGCGTGGGCGCGGGGGGAGGGCGGCGTGGGCGCAGGGGGAGGGCCGCGTGGGCGCGGGGGGCGGGAAGAGCCGTGTGGTCGCAGGGGGAGAGCGGCGTGGGCACGGGGGGGAGGGCGGCGTGGGCGCGGGGGGAGGGCGGCGTGGGCGCGGGGGGAGGGCGGCGTGGGCGCGGGGGGAGGGCGGCGTGGGCGCGGGGGAGGATGGCGGCGTGGGCGCGGGGGGGGGGGGGGCGGGCGGGGCGCGGGGGGGGGGGGGGGGGCGGGGGGGGGGGGGGGGCGGGGGGGCGGCGTGGGCGCGGGGGGAGGGAGGGCGGCGTGGGCGCGGGGGGAGGGAGGGCGGCGTGGGCGCGGGGGGAGGGAGGGCGGCGTGGGCGCGGGGGGAGGGAGGGCGGCGTGGGCGCGGGGGGAGGGAGGGCGGCGTGGGCGCGGGGGGAGGGAGGGCGGCGTGGGCGCGGGGGAGGGAGGCGGGTCGGGGGGGGGTGGGGAGGGGGGCGTGGGGCGGGGGAGGGCGCGGGGAGGGGGGCGTGGGGCGGGGTGGGCGGCGGGGGGAGGGGGGCGGCGTGGCGCGGGGGGGAGGGAGGGCGGGCGTGGGCGCGGGGGGAGAGGTCGGGCGTGGCGCGGGGGAGGCGGCGTGGGCGCGGGGGGAGGGAGGGCGGCGTGGGCGCGGGGGGAGGGCGGCGTGGGCGCGGGGGGAGGGAGGGCGGCGTGGGCGCGGGGGGAGGGAGGGCGGCGTGGGCGCGGGGGGGGGCGGCGTGGCGCGGGGGAGGAGGGCGCGTGGGCGCGGGGGGAGAGGGCGGCGTGGGGCGGGGGAGGGCGTCGGGGAGGGGGAGGCGTGGTGCGGGTGGGCGCGGGGGGAGGCGCGTGGGCGCGGGGGGGAGGGCGGCGTGGGGCGCGGGGGGAGGGAGGGCGGCGTGGGCGCGGGGGGAGGGAGGGCGGCGTGGGCGCGGGGGGAGGGCGGCGGGGGGAGGGGAGGCGGCGTGGGCGCGGGGGGAGGGCGGCGGGGAGAGGGAGGCGTGGGTGCGGGGAGGGAGGGCGGCGTGAGCGCAGACACACCCAGCCCAGCCCCACCTTGATTCTGCCGCCACCGAGCTCCTCGCTGAGCCGGAGTCTGGCGTCCACCACCCTTTTCAGGTCTCTCTGCAGCCGCCATCCGAAATCCCTGAACATCGTCGAGCCCCCGGACAGAACGACATTCTAGAAGACAGAGGGGTCTCCATGGGGGGGTCGCCCGCCCACACAGAACCGTCACGGCCGCTGGTGCCAACCACGCAGTCCAGCCTGTTTGCAGTCCGAGCAGCCAGCCGGTGCCCTCGGGGAAGCAGCTGTACCCGGCCGCCCTGCGAACCTGCCTCGGCCCCGCCCCTCCGCCGACAGCCCCGCCTCGGCCCTGCCCCTCCGCCCGCAGCCCCGCAAACAGAGTTGACTATCAGGCTCTTCAACCTCTGATGTGGGCGATGGCAGCCACACCATCCCTCTCCACACCCCTCCCAACCTCATCTTCCCCCCTTCACCTCGGGCCTATGTGAAAAAATAATGACAGAAAACTTCCCGAACCTGGCAAAGGAAATAGACACACAAGTCCAGGAAGCACAGAGAGTCCCAAACAAGATGAACCCAAAGAGGCCCACACCAAGACACATCGTCACTAAAATGCCAAAGGTTAAAGACAAAGAGAGAATCTTAAGAGCAGCAAGAGAAAAGCAGCTAGTTACCTACGAGGAAGCCCACATAAGACTGTCAGCTGATTTCTCACCAGAAACTTTGCAGGCCAGAAGGGAGTGGCAAGAAATATTCAAAGTGATGAAAAGCAAGAACCTACAACCAAGATTACTCTACTCAGCAAAGCTGTCATTTAGAATCAAAGGACAGATAAAGAGCTTCCCAGACAAGAAAAAGCTAATGGAGTTCATCACCACCAAACCAGTATTATATGAAATGTTAAAGGGTCTTTTTTAAGAAGAAGAAAAAAAGATAAAAAATAGGAATAATAAAGGGTCAATAAACACGTCTATCAATAATTACTTTAAATGCAAATGGATTAAATGCCCCAATCAAAAGCCATATAGAGGCTGAATGAATAACAAGACCATTACATTTATGTCTACAAGAGACTCACTTCAGATCAAAAGACACACAGACATTAAAAGTAAATGGATGGAAAAAGATATGTCATGAAAATGGAAACAAAGAAACCAAAAAAAGCTGGGGGAGCAATACTTACACCAGACAAAAACAGACTTTAAAACAAAGGTTATACGACAAGAGACAAAGGAGGACCCAGCAATTCCACTTCTGCGTATTTATCCAAAGAACCCCAAAACACTAAGTTGAAAAGACATATACATCTATATGTTCACTGCAGCATTATTTACAATAACCAAGACATGGAAGCAGCCAAAGTGTCCATCAATAAATGAAAGAATAAAGAAGGGGTGGATATATACAATGGAATATGACTGTCATAAAAAAAAAAAAGAAGGAAATCTGCCCTGGCCAGTTTGGCTCAGTGGTTAGAGCATTGGCCTGTGGCCCAGAGAGACCCGGGTTTGGGTCCTGCTAAGGGCATGTACCTCGGTTGCGGTTTGTCCCTGGCCCTGGTTGGGTTGTGTGGGAGGCAGCCACTCCATGTGTCCCTTTCACGTCGCTGTTTCTCCCTCCCTCCCTCCCACTCTATCTGAACAAACAATGGAAAAATGTCCTTGGGTGAGAATTAAAAAAAAAAAAGGAAGGAAATCTTACCATCTGCAACAACATGGGTGGACCTGGAGGGTATTATGCTCAGTGAAATAATCAGACACAGGAAGACAAAGTCCCTGTGATTTCACTTACATGTGGGCTCTAGTGAACAAAATACACGAAAAGCAGAACAGAAACGGACTCACAGACACAGAGAACATTTTGACCGTTGCTAGATGGGAGGGGGGTTGGGGAGGATGGAAAAAGGTGAAGGGACTAAGAAGCAAAACTTGGTAAGTTACAGAACAGTCACGGAAATGTAGAGTACAGCATAGGGAGTATACTGTAAAACTACGTATATGGTATCAGATGCGTACTAGATTTATCAGGGTGACCACTTAGTAACTTATCTAATGTCTAGTCACTGCATTGTACACCTGAAACCAATATAATATTGTATGTCAATTATAATTGAACAGTAAAAAAATTTTTTAAAGTTAAAAACAAAAGAAAATCTGGAAAAAATGGAAGTTGATCTATCCAAAAGAAACGTTTAGTGTATGTCCTTCAGAACCTAGCCTTCTATATAGATGCAAACTGTTTTTACACAGTAAGATGCTGTGTGCAAATGTTACAACCTGCCTTTTCAGCTATCAATATGTACTGACATCTTTTCACTTGCTTTTACACTGATTTACCCATTTCTTTTTCAAGGCTGCGTAGTATTCCATCTTGTAGACGAAAAAATATATTAAGCTGTCTCCACAGAGCCGGCGTCCCTCCTCTGGAAGAGTGGCTACCAGAGGTTGAGTGAGGCAGCCTGGGGCTGGGCTGAGAGCATGACCCCTGCACGCAGCGGTCAGTGAGAGGTGACGGGGGTCACTGACCATCCCTTTCTGCCCTCAGTATTTGGCTGCCAGCAATATGTCCTTTTATCCTATCATTTTCTTAAGTTTCAAAGTCCCCTGCATCACAGAGTTTTGGAAAAACGACTACACGAGCGTTTCCTGTTTGATGTTTTCACGTGAGGCTCTGACCTCCTCTGGCAACACCACACTGCCACCGAGCCTACACGGGCATCAGACAAAGCCAGCGGAGCTCAGGGCACCATGAGAGGGACCACGTCCCTTTTCAGCCAACAAACACAATTAAAACTGTCCCGTCCAAACCGGCCTAGCTGGCCCTGGCTGGTCTGGCTCAGCAGTTGGAGCATTGGCCCGAGGACCAAGGAGTTTCGGGCTCGATTTCAGTCAAAGGCATGGACCTCGGTTGCAGTTCGATCCCCAGTCCTGGTTGGGGTCGTGCAGGAGGCAGCCAAGCGATGTCTCTGTCTGTCTCCCTCCCTCCTGCCCTTCCACTCTATCTGAAAATCAATGGAAAATGATCCTCGGGTGAGGATTAAAAATAATAATGAAGTAAAATGGTGCAGCATGCCAGACAAGAATGAAAGATACTAGAGCAGCCCTGGCCAGTTTGGCTCGGCGGTTAGAGCGTCGGCCCGCGGACCAGAGAGTCATGGGTTCGATTCCGGTCAAGGGCGTGTACCTCAGTTGCGGTTCAGCCCAGACCCTAGTGGGGTCATGCAGGAGGTGACCAGTCGATGTGGCTCTATCACATCCATGATTCTCCCTCCCTCCCTCCCACTCTGACAATAGGTGGAAAAATATCCGCGGGTAAGGAATAAAAAAAATAAACAACAGAAGACACTAGAGGAGCTAAATTAGAGACCCGGTGTGCGGGGCCACGCTTCCCCACGTGGGAGGCACCACACTCTCAGAGAACTGCTGGCCAGCACTCGGGCCGGAACCTGGGAGCCTGAGCCCACGTCGGCGACCTGTCCGGAGCGGGGTGGGCCAGGGCTGGGGAGAGTCACAGTACCCGACGGGGTCCTACCTTGTACAGCGGGCGCCGCACGTCGACGGGACAGTTCTGTATCACTTCATCGACAACGTCCGAAATGGACTCCATGAAGTCTGGGTTGGCAAACTGCAGTTTATACGGACACAGAAGAAACGTTACACACTTCTCGTAGCAGGACAAAGCCGAACGCTTTTCGAAAAGTAACTTCAACAGGTTAGCTGGTGTGGCTCAGTGGCTGAGCGTCAACCCTGCACCAAGAGGTCACCAGTTCGATTCCCGGTCAGGGCACATGCCCAGGCTGTGGGCCTGATTCCCAGTGGGGGGCATGCAGGAGGCAGCCAGTCCATGTTGTCTCTCATCAATGTTTCTATCTCTCTCTCCCTCTCCCTTCCTCTCTAAAATCAATTTTAAAAATTATTTTAAAAAATAGTAGCTTTAACAAACACAGAATTTACTACACCTTCAAATACAACATGGGAGTGAACCCCACGACAAATGAACCCCTGTCTGTGACCACGTGTGTGCGCAGACCGATGACACCACCACTCCCTCGGGGTGAAACGTGTGGCTCAGCGAAGGAAACCCGCCCACGGCACAAACACGGGACACCGTTGAGCCAGCCTGCGACACGCAGGAAGGAACATGGAACACTGTGTACGAGGGTCATCCCTTAGGAATACCAACTGATGGAGGAATTAGCCAGGATACAAAAAAAACAACAACACTTGATGGAAGGTCACTGTACAGTGGCTTTAAAATGTAATGACTGAAAAAAAAAATCAATAAAATGTAATGGGCCCTGGACGGTTTGGCTTAGCGGTTAGAGCGTCGGCCTGTGGACCAGAGTCCCGGGTTTGGTTCCCGCTAAGGGCACGTACCTCGGTTGCAGTTTGTCCCTGGCCCCAGTTGGGGTCGTGTGGGTGGCGACAATTCGATGTGTCTCTCTCACATGGATGTTTCTCTCTCTTCCTCCTTCTCTCCCTCCCGCTCTATCTGAAGATAAATGCAAAAAAAAGTGGCCTCGGGTAAGAATTAAAAAAAAAAAAATGTAATGATTGGCCCTGGCCATTTTGGCTCAGCAGTTAGAGTGTCGGCTGGCCGACTAAAGGGTTGAGGATTCAATCCCCGGCTGGTTGGGGTCGGGGAGGAACCAACCTATCCATGTGTCTCTCTCTCTCCCCATCTCCTCCCTCCCTTCCACTCTCTCTAAAAATCAGCAGTGCCCTGGCCGGTTGGTTCAGTGGTTGGAGCGGCGGCCCGCGGACCAAAGAGTCCTGGGTTTGATTCCAGCCTAGGGCACGTACCTTGGTTGTGGTTCGTCCGCAGCTCTGGTCAGGGTTGTGCGGGAGGCAACTAATCGATGTGTGTGTCTCTCTCTCCCTCCCTACTGCTCTATCTAAAAACAAATGGAAAAATATCCTCAGGTGAGGATTAAAAAATTTAAAATCGGTCGGAAAAAATATCCTCCAGTGAGGATTAACCAAAAAAAATGTATTTTATTTAAACCTTAAAATGTTGGCCCTTAATTGCTGCTTCCACAGAATAATGATCATTTGTGACTAGCAGCTAAAGTGACCATCTCTGTGATCCTCGCGGACCGCGCTCAGACCCAAGCTCTCAGACCTGAAGGACCGACGGTCACCGCCCCCACCGGGCAGAGGCAACGCGCTCGGTCCCTGAGTACTCGTGCACGTGTTGCTCCTTTCTAACCCACTGTCTCCCGTCGCTCCTCCAACGTCTTCCTAACCACTCGTGGTCGATAACAGCCGGCTGCTGGCTACAGAGCGTCCGTGCGGAGAGCAGAGGGAACAGCCTGTCCAGCAGACAGACCGCCGGGGCAGTGACCGGCTCAGAGAGCCCCGCGCACACCCTGCCCTCGCTCGGGGGTCAGCTCGCTCGTGACTGGGAACCCCCGCCACGCACACGCGGTGGCGGTACGCTCCACGCGCGAGGCACCTCCACGGGCTGGAGAAGCAAGCGCCTCACCTCGGGGTGAAAGAAGATCTCGGGCCCCAGGAACCGCTCGTAGCCCACGTCCACCAGGAACCGCTTCTGGTTGATGGCGTTGATGCCCACATACTGCTTGACCCACCTCCGGGGGTCCACGTCGTACTTGGCAAACTCCTTGACGATGTCAGGGCAAAGGTAGCAGTATTTCTCCTGCGCACACACACATCACCAAGCATTGATGAACCTGGGCCTCCCCCGACAGACGCCAGGGACCCCGAGCACCACGCGCACCCCGGAACCGAGAGCTGCCCAGGCGGGGAACAGCGCGGACATGCTGCCGAGCCTGGGCCCACCGCCCCTCACGGCAGACACGACTACGCTTCGACTTGGGACGCGTGCAGCTGCTCCCTGCGCAACGTGGCTGTCAATCTCGGCCTTACAGTATCATCTGAAAGGATGTCTCAGGGTGTCTAAGTTCCTGTCCCCATCTCCCCTTCCCGTGTCCCTCGTGGGCGCCCACGCGGACCAGCAGGCCGGACGGCCGTGGGGGCTGACAGCAGTCATCCGCTCCACAGCAGGTGTTCCCTGAGCACCGGGCACAGGGGGCGCACAGAGACAACGCAGACCCCTGCCCTGGAGCCTGCACTCTGGCTGAGGGTCCATAATAACTAAGCAGGTGACACAGCAGGTCAAAGGTCACAGGTGGAAGGGCCACGGAGAGGAAGGGGCAGACTATGAGGCCGCACGGCGCAGCGGGCGCCCAGTCGGGTCATCACTGTTCTCTACTCCGGACCCTCCACACTGGTGCTCAGAGGACGGGGCTGAGCCCGGTCTTTCAGCCCCTACCCCACGAGGTGAACAGAGGGAGACCCACGCTGGCAGGGAGGCAGGGCAGGGGGAGGGGAGGGGAGGAGGGAGCAGGGTGGCGTCAGAGGGGAAGCGTCCAGACACCATCTCTCACCCCCAAACCAGCCCGTTCCCCGGCTGTTTTTACCTTAATGGCTTTTGCGGTCTCCAGGGACTGTCGGGCGGGATTCCCCCCTCCCTCTCCTTAGCAGCTGCTGAATGAAACACGTAGTATCTCTACCTGCAATGGGGGTGTGTTTGATGCAGCTTCCAATGACATAACCTTCTGCCTGGGGAGAGGAGGCAGAAGACAGAGTGAGCAACGCCCACGGGGCGCCCGGCCCCGGGGGCTTCCTGCCCCCCAGGCACTAACACGCATTTAGAGAGCCCCCCACACCTCGGACAAGTCCTTTAAAGTGACTGTGTTCAAAACATAAAATATCAAGCCCGGCCGGCGTGTGGCTCAGTGGCTGAGCGTCGTCCCAGGCACCAGGAGGTCACTGGTTCGATTCCCGTTCAGGGCACAAGCCTGGTTTCAGGCTCGAACCCTGGTAGGGAGCACGCAGGTGGCAGCCAATCGATGTTTCTCTCTCTCCCCCTCTTCCTCTCTGTGAAATCAATGCAAACGTATTTAAAACTGATCACCATGCAGTGACGACGTTCTCGGTCCGTTACTGGCGGGCCTCTCCAGAATGGCGCCCGCACCGGGTGTGCAAAGACAGGCACCCGGGCCGCTGCCGGACGGAGCGTGTGCGGGGCCGCGGGGCCCGTCCTGGCTCCCCAGCAGAGTCTTACTACAAACCGCTGACCCGACTGCAAATCTACTTTTATTTAAGACTCACCCATGTGGCCCTGGCAGGTTGGGCTCAGTGGTTAGAGTATCAGCCCACGGAACAAAGAGTCCCGGGTTCGATTCTGGCCAAGGGCACGTACCTTAGTTGCGGTTTGTCCCCGACCCTGGCTGGGGTCGTGCGGGAGGCAACCAATCGACGTCTCTCCCTCACATAGATGGTTCTTTCTCTCTCTCTCTTTCTTCTGCACTATCTGAAGGTAAATGGAAAAAATATCCTCAGATGAGGATTGAAAAAAAAGTATCAACAATGTGGTTACATTCGTAAGACTAAGATTCTAACAACCTGGATTCAAACCTGGTTCCCCGCCAGTCAGCTGTGTGGCTGTGGAGGTCTGCCGACACGCCCGCCCAGGACCTGTGCACAGTGCGGGACCAGCGACACCCAGGGTTACAACACGGGGCTGATGGAACCCCAAGTCCAGCACACGGCGCAGTCTGGGCATCACTCAGCACCAGGAGCTGCAGGTGTTCACCCAGCACTGTGCACCTCAGACCCCAGGGGTCCCGGCCCCCGCTCTCCCTGGGCTGCCTTCCTGCGCTGAGGCCTGTCTGCCGGGGCCCGGAAAGGGGCGGCCCGCACTGGCAGGGCCGGTCAAGAGTCCACACGCCCGCGGCGGGGCCCAAGGCCCTCACCAGCCTTCCGAGGGCACAATGGCCAGGAAGCCACAGGCTGGCGCGCATGCAGCCTGCCCTGGTGGGCAGAGGGGAACGTCCTACCGCAATGTCTCCCGACAAGGACGGGGCACCCGGGTCCCACAGAACACGGCCCCTGTGCCCCGTGCCCGTGCGGCAGAGGGCACGGCAGGAACTGCTGCCTCCCTGTACGGGGGTCCGTCCCATGCTTCCACCCCCAGTGAGACCCGTCAGCGGTCAAGAATGGACTGAGTCCCCATGTGTCCTTCTGATGGACGTGGCTTCCCACAGCGCCCGTGTTGTTTGTAAACTACTGTAAGAGGGAGAGCAAAGATGTGTCCACATTTCTGAAATAGTGAAGATCGACTTCAAGCTGTAAGGATATCGGCTACACAAACTACTCACAACAGTGGTACCCTGCGGGTCACAGGTAACAGGTTCTAACACTAATTCAACCATTAATGAGTGTTGCTTCTTCTCAGCACCCAGAACACCCAGACACCTACAGGTCCAGCAGCAGGAGAATAAAGAAGCAAGTGGATTATGCTTTTATGTAGATAGTAAATACTTTTTAAATAGTTTTTACAGAGTATTTCACCACAAGGAATACTACTGGGGATCGACCAATGCACAACGTATCACTCTAGGGTCAAACTGTACTATTAGGACACAAACCAGACACAGGACGTCCCAACTCTGCTCACAGTGCCCACGAGCAGCTCGGGAGTGAGCCTCCAGGCCCTCCCGCGAAAGTACCATGTGGTTCTCCGGGGGAGTGTGCGGTTCTGGAGGACTGCGTGGTTCTGGGGGGTGCAGTTCTCCGGGGGAGTGTGCGGTTCTGGGGGACTGCGTGGTTCTGGGGGAGTGTGCGGTTCTGGGGGGTGCGGTTCTCCGGGGGAGTGCGGGGTTCTCAAGGGAGTGTGTGGTTCTGGGGGACTGCGTGGTTCAGGGGGGTGCAGTTCTCCGGGGGAGTGTGCGGTTCTGAGGGGTGTGGTTCTCCAGGGGAGTGTGCGGTTCTGGGGGGTGCGGTTCTTCTCCGGGGGAGTGTGCGGTTCTGGGGGGTGCGGTTCTCCAGGGGAGTGTGCGGTTCTGGGGGGGAGTGTGCGGCTCATTCCATTTTCTCCTTCGCACCTCTCTATTTTATCTGAATTCTGTATAAGACATGGAATTTTTTAGGAAAACACTGAACTATGATACAGACGACAAAATTAAAAACGACTTTCTCTGCGGCCTCGACCCGGGTGAGATGTGTGCCTTCCCTCTCGACTGTACACGGGACGGGCGGTGGGCCCACGGCACCCCAGGTCCCCGCGCCTGGCCTCGGGGGCACCCCAGGTCCCCGCTGCCTGGCCTCGGGGGCACTCCAGGTCCCCGCTGCCTGGCCTCGGGGGCACCCCAGGTCCCCGCTGCCTGGCCTCGGGAGCACCCCAGGTCCCCGCTGCCTGGCCTCGGGAGCACCCCAGGTCAGCAGACGACGCGTCCACAGTCAGTGTCCCTGTCGGGGCAGCAGCTCCAGAAGGAGCGAGGGTTGGGGCCCGGCCTGCGGGAGCGGAGCACCAAGCACGGAGGAGGCTGCGGGGTGTCCCTCAGTCCTGCCTGTCCCTCCCCACCCCCTGCGAAGGGCACCCGGGAGGGCACAGGATGGGGCCTGGGGGGCATCTGACTTTTCTCCCGACTCAAGGCATGTCCACCATTCCCCTCCCCTGCAGGGAGCTCAGACCTGAGGGAATGAAAACACATCAGTAGGTCCTCCCACTCCCGGAAAGAAATGGTGACTGTTTTTGAAATGGAAATAAATGCACAGTTGTTATAAGGCCCCAGTGTGCATCTGTAGAAGGCGCACACGCACACACCCTGTTCATGCAGACAGTGTGCCTGCAGCACAGGAGCGGCCAGCAGCGGGGCTGCCTCTGGGCCAGGGACCTGGAGGGGCATGGGGGAGCTGGAGGGGCATGGGGGAGCTGGAGGGGCATCGGGGAGCTGGAGGGGAATGGGGGAGCTGGAGGCATGGGGAGTGGAGGGGCATGGGGAAGCTGGAGGTGTATGGGGGTACCTGGAGGGGCATCGGGTAGCATGAGAGGGGCAGGGGGGCCCTGGAGGGGCATCGGGAACCTGGAGGGGCATGGTGGGTCCTGGAGGGCCATGGGGGTCCTGGAGGGGCCGGGGAGGCCGGAGGGGCAAGGGGGGTCTGGAGGGGCGATGGGAGGTCGGAGGGGGCATGGGGGTCCTGGAGGGGCAATGGGGACCTGGAGGGGCATCGGGGAGCTGGAGGGGCATGGGGTCCTGGAGGGGCAATCGGGGAGCTGGAGGGGCATGGGGGTCCGGAGGGGCAGGGGGGTCCATGGAGGGCATCGGGGTCCTGGAGGGGGCAGGGGGGGTCCTGGAGGGGCATGGGGGTCCTGGAGGGGCATCGGGGAGCTGGAGGGGCATGGGGGTCCTGGAGGGGCATGGGGGTCCTGGAGGGGCAGGGGGGACCTGGAGGGGCATCGGGGAGCTGGAGGGGCATGGGGGTCCTGGAGGGGCATCGGGGAGCTGGAGGGGCATGGGGTCCTGGGAGGGGCATGGGGGGTCCTGGAGGGGCATCGGGGAGCTGGAGGGGCAGGGGGGTCCTGGAGGGCCATGGGGGTCCTGGAGGGGCATCGGGGAGCTGGAGGGGCAGGGGGGTCCTGGAGGGGCATCGGGGAGCTGGAGGGGCATGGGAGTCCTGGAGGGGCATCGGGGAGCTGGAGGGGCATGGGAGTCCTGGAGGGGCATCGGGGAGCTGGAGGGGCAGGGGGGTCCTGGAGGGGCATGGGGGTCCTGGAGGGGCATGGGGGTCCTGGAGGGGCAGGGGGGACCTGGAGGGGCATCGGGGAGCTGGAGGGGCATGGGGGTCCTGGAGGGGCATCGGGGAGCTGGAGGGGCATGGGGGTCCTGGAGGGGCATGGGGGTCCTGGAGGGGCATCGGGGAGCTGGAGGGGCAGGGGGTCCTGGAGGGGCATGGGGGTCCTGGAGGGGCATCGGGGAGCTGGAGGGGCATGGGGGTCCTGGAGGGGCATCGGGGAGCTGGAGGGGCATGGGGGTCCTGGAGGGGCATCGGGGAGCTGGAGGGGCATGGGGGTCCTGGAGGGGCATCGGGGAGCTGGAGGGGCATGGGGGTCCTGGAGGGGCATGGGGGTCCTGGAGGGGCATCGGGGAGCTGGAGGGGCATGGGGGTCCTGGAGGGCCATGGGGGTCCTGGAGGGGCATCGGGGAGCTGGAGGGGCATGGGGGTCCTGGAGGGGCATCGGGGAGCTGGAGGGGCAGGGGGGTCCTGGAGGGGCATCGGGGAGCTGGAGGGGCAGGGGGAAGCTGGAGGGGCATGGGGGTCCTGGAGGGGCATGGGGGTCCTGGAGGGGCATGGGGGTCCTGGAGGGGCATCGGGGAGCTGGAGGGGCAGGGGGAAGCTGGAGGGGCATGGGGGTCCTGGAGGGGCATCGGGGAGCTGGAGGGGCAGGGGGAAGCTGGAGGGGCAGGGGGGTCCTGGAGGGGCATAGGGTAGCTGGAGGGGCAGGGGGAAGCTGGAGGGGCAGGGGGGTCCTGGAGGGGCATGGGGGTCCTGGAGGGCATGGGGGTCTGGAGGGGCATGGGGGTCCTGGAGGGGCATCGGGGAGCTGGAGGGGCATCGGGGAGCTGGAGGGGCATGGGTGTCCTGGAGGGGCATCAGGGAGCTGGAGGGGCAGGGGGGTCCTGGAGGGGCATCGGGGAGCTGGAGGGGTATGGGGGTCCTGGAGGGGCATCGGGGAGCTGGAGGGGCATCGGGGAGCTGGAGGGGCATGGGGGTCCTGGAGGGGCATCGGGGAGCTGGAGGGGCAGGGGGGTCCTGGAGGGGCATGGGGGTCCTGGAGGGGCATGGGGGTCCTGGAGGGCAGGGTGGACCTGGAGGGGCATCGGGGAGCTGGAGGTGCATTGGTGGGTCCTGGAGGGGCATCGGGGAGCTGGAGGGCATGGGGGTCCTGGAGGGGCATGGGGGGTCCTGGAGGGGCATCGGGAGCTGAGGGCAAGGGGGTCCCTGAGGGGCATGGGGGTCCTGGAGGGGCATCGGGGAGCTGGAGGGGCATGGGGGTCCTGGAGGGGCATGGGGGTCCTGGAGGGGCATCGGGGAGCTGGAGGGGCATGGGGGTCCTGGAGGGGCATGGGGGTCCTGGAGGGGCAGGGGGGACCTGGAGGGGTCAATCGGGGAGCTGGAGGGGCATGGGGTCCTGGAGGGCATCGGGAGCTGGAGGGGCATGGGGGTCCTGGATGGGCATGGGGTCCTGGAGGGGCATCGGGGAGCTGAGGGGCAGGGGGGTCCTGGAGGGCCATGGGGGTTCCTGGAGGGGCATCGGGGAGCGGAGGGGCAGGGGTCCTGAGGGGCTCGGGGAGCTGGAGGGGCATCGGGGATCTGGAGGGGCATGGGGGGTCTGGAGGGCATCGGGGAGCTGGAGGGCAAGGGGTTTCCGGAGGGGTCGGGGGATCTGGAGGGGCCATCGGGGAGCTGGGATGGGCATGGGGGGTCCTGAGGGGCATCGGGGAGCCTTGAAGGGTCGGGGGTCCTGAGGGGCATGGGGGTCCTGGAGGGGCATCGGGGAGCTGGAGGGGCATGGGGGTCCTGGAGGGGCAGGGGGGTCCTGGAGGGGCAGGTGGGACCTGGAGGGGCATCGGGGAGCTGGAGGGGTATGGGGGTCCTGGAGGGCAATCGGGGAGCTGGAGGGGCATTGGGGGTCCTGGAGGGTCCATGGGGGTCCTGGAGGGCATCGGTGACCTGGAGGGGCAAGGGGGAAGGGGAGGGGCAGGGTTGGGGAGCATGGGTGGTCCTGATGGGCATCGGGGAGCTGGAGGGGCATGGGAGTCCTGGAGGGGCATCGGGGAGCTGGAGGGGCATGGGAGTCCTGGAGGGGCATCGGGGAGCTGGAGGGGCAGGGGGGTCCTGGAGGGGCATCGGGGTCCTGGAGGGGCATGGGGGTCCTGGAGGGGCAGGCGGGGACCTGGAGGGCACGGTGGAGCGGAGGGGCATGGGGGTCCGGAGGGGCATCGGGGAGCTGGAGGGGCATGGGGTCCTGGAGGGGCATTGGGGTCCTGGGGGGCATCGGGGAGCTTGGAGGGGCAGAGGGGGTCCTGGAGGGGCATGGGGGTCCTGGAGGGGCATCGGGGAGCTGGAGGGGCATGGGGGTCCTGGAGGGGCATCGGGGAGCTGAGGGGCATGGGGGTCCTGGAGGGGCATGGGGGTCCTGGAGGGCATCGGGGAGCTGGAGGGCATGGGGGTCCTGGAGGGCAATCGGGGAGCTGGAGGGGCATGGGGGTCCTTGAGGGGCCGGTGAGCGGGCATCGGGGAGCTGGAGGGGGCATGGGGTCCTGGAGGGCCATGGGGGTCCTGGAGGGGCATCGGGAGCTGGAGGGGCATGGGGTCCTGGAGGGGCATCGGGGAGCTGGAGGGGCAGGGGGGTCCTGGAGGGGCATCGGGGAGCTGGAGGGGCAGGGGGAAGCTGGAGGGGCATGGGGGTCCTGGAGGGGCATGGGGGTCCTGGAGGGGCATGGGGGTCCTGGAGGGGCATGGGGGTCCTGGAGGGGCATCGGGGAGCTGGAGGGGCAGGGGGAAGCTGGAGGGGCAGGGGGGTCCTGGAGGGGCATGGGGGTCCTGGAGGGGCATGGGGGTCCTGGAGGGGCAGGGGGGTCCTGGAGGGGCATCGGGGAGCTGGAGGGGCATGTGGGACCTGGAGGCGCATTGGGGATCTGGAGGGGCATGGGGACCTGGAGGGCCATGGGGGACCTGGAGGGGCATGTGGGACCTGGAGGCGCATTGGGGACCTGCAGGGCCATGGGGGACCTGGAGGGCCATGGGGCATGGGGGACCTGGAGGGCCATCAGGATGAGGCCCAGTGTGACGCCCCTGTATACTCCCTACCTGCAGGCTCAACTTATTTTCCAAAACACAACTTTAAACAATTCATTTAAATAGTTTATTGGACCCAATAAAAAGAGGAAAAGGAAAAAAGGAAGAAAATGGAGCCCCCTAGAGCCCCAGTTGGGAATCGCTTCGCTCACATTCTGACACCTGAAACCAGACAGCCACCGGGTGGGACACCCTGCAGGTCGAAACACACGATCCCATCTTCTCGGCTCTTAAATAAATCCTCAAACCCCAGCAGCAAACCCTCTACAGCAGAGCGGGGAGGGCTGCCCCTGTCACAGAGCACTCCCGAGCGGGCTCCCCAGACCCCGGTCCCCAAGCTAGAACGTGAGCAGGGAAGTCCCCCTGGTGACCGTGCCGGCGGGTGCGGCAGAGCCCTGGCCACCGTGCCGATGTGCCATCCGACGGCCGAACTGCCCAGGCCACGCGTGTCGGGCACCTCTGTCCTCGCGTGCCTGCCTTAAGAACTCGCAGTACCTTTCTATGACTTCAAAGTGGTATTTTGACTACGGAGGGGTTTTCTTCCATTTGCTCCCTTACCTCAAGTCAGGTGAGTCCTACAGAGCGAAGCCCTGACCAGTCTGCTTACCACTGGGATGGCGTGGGTGACCCCGTCCCCGCTGTCGATGATGGTCCCCGTCAGGGTGCGCTCCCCGACCTGCCGAGACGTCCATGACGCCGCCAAGGCCAACACCGCCTGGACAGGGCACGAAGCCGTCAGCACAGGTGACCGTCCCCAGCACGCTCGCACTCAGGGTCAGGCAGTAGGTCTTTCTTCCCGACCAAGCCCAGCTCTTTCCCGCCCTCTCCTTCGCCTTCCCCCCGAAATTCAAGTTCCAAATCGGACAAGGAACAGACCAATTCTGTGCACTTGAACTGAAGGACTCAAGTGTCCGATAAAGTCAATCCACTTTTACAAAGAGCCAGTGAGACGGGATTTCCCGTGGGCTCAGCATGGACTTTCTGTGCACCCGCTCCCCGTGCGGGCCCACGGCCGGGCTGCGGTGGCCACTGTGCAGTCTGTGAAGGACAGAGCACCAGGCCCGCTCGGAAGCCCTGCTCTGCCAGGGCTCGGACACTGGTTCTCCGCAGGGCCATCCTGCCCCCAGGGACACTGGGAAAGGCCCGGTGCCCTGTGACCACTTGGGAGGAGGAGCCGGTGGGTGGAGGCAGAGACCCTGATGAACACCCTCCGGTGCCCAGGAAGCCACCAGAGGAAGCGCCCTCCCGAACGCGAGGCTGGAGAACCCCGGTCTGAGAGGAATGGGGGCGCGTGTGCGTGTGTGTGTGTGTGCGTGTGAATGTGTGTGTGCGTGTTGAATGTTTTGTTGTGGTGCTGTTGTGCGGTGTGAATGTTTGTGCGCGGTCGGTGAATGTTTTTTGCTGTTGTGATGTGGTGTGCATCTGTGTGAATGGGTGTGTGTGACGGTGTTATGTGTCTATGTGTGGTCTGGGTGTGTGCGCCCGTGCAGTGTGTGTGAATGTGTTTCTGTGTGTCTGTGTGTGCCTGTGCCTATGTGTCCGTGTGTGTGTGCGTGTGTCGTATTTGTGGGGTGAATGTTTTGTTGTGTTGCTGTGCCTAGTGGTGTACTGTGTGTGTGCACGTGTGGTGTGTGTGCGTGATGTCTGTATGTGTGGGTGAATGTGTTTCTGTGTGTGTCTGTATGTGTGGGTGAATGTGTTTCTGTGTGTGTCTGTGCCTATGTGTGTATCTGTGTGTGTGTGCGCGTGTGTGTGTGCGTGTGTCTGTATGTGTGGGTGAATGTGTTTCTGTGTGTGTCTGTGTGTGCATCTGTGTGTGAATGTGTTTCTGTGTCTATGTGTGTGTCTGTGTGTGTGCGCCCGTGCATGTGTGTGTGAATGTGTTTCTGTGTGTTTCTGTGTGTGCCTGTGCCTATGTGTATCTGTGTATGTGCGTGTGTGTGTGCGTGTGTCTGTATTTGTGGGTGAATGTGTTTCTGTGTGTGTCTGTGCCTATGTGTGTATCTGTGTGTGTGCACGTGTGTGTGCGTGTGCGTGTGTCTGTATGTGGGGTGAATGTGTTTCTGTGTGTGTCTGTGCCTATGTGTGTATCTGTGTGTGTGTGCGCGTGTGTGTGTGTGTGTGTGCCTATGTGTGTATCTGTGTGTGTGCACGTGTGTGTGCGTGTGCGTGTGTCTGTATGTGTGGGTGAATGTGTTTCTGTGTGTGTCTGTGCCTATGTGTGTATCTGTGTGTGTGTGCGCGTGTGTGTGTGCGTGTGTCTGTATGTGTGGGGTGAATGTCTTTCTGTGTGTGTCTGTGCCTATGTGTGTATCTGTGTGTGTGTGCGTGTGTGTGCGCATGTGTCTGTATGTGTGGGTGAATGTGTTTCTGTGTGTGTCTGTGTATGTGTGTGCTTCTGTGCATGTGTGTGTGAATGTGTTTCTATCTGTGTGTGTGCGTCTGTGCATGTGTGTGTGAATGTGTTTCTGTCTGTGTCTGTGTGAATGTGTGTGTGTGTATGTATCTGCACAGCCCATCTCACAACACAGCCTCTGGAATCGCTATTCCTCGCTCTTTGGGACAGGTCCTTTGGGAATCATGGAAATGACTCTGCTTTTACCTGAACTGCAATGTAGAGTCCTGGTACATTGAAAGATTCAAACATAATTTCTGCAAGATATTCTCTGTTTTCCGGTGTGTTCAGCGGAGGTTCTGTCTGTAAGAAAAGAGTCACTGTGTTTAGTGTTCACCCAGACTCCACGGAGCTGCCCCTGGACCTACGAGCGTGGGCGCCGAGGCTGAGGGCCCCTCCCTGACAGAGGCGCGGGCCGGCGTGGACCCCGAGAGAAACCGGCGGGCCCCAAGCATGCCGTGCGGAGCCGAGGCCTCTCTGAGCGCTGCTGCTCTGGGTGACCCCCCAGACCAAGGGCGAGCGGCAGAGAAGAAAACCATCTGGGATGACGGCCCCTGAAACCCAGCGGACCGAGCAAGGCGCCGCGGGCCATGAACACAGCCCAGGGACGTGGAGCGCAGCACGAGGACGGGGCTCCCCGAGAGCGCGCAGGCCGCCCCCGCCGCAGCGGGAAGGGGGTGCGAGCAGACGGGGCCCCAGAGCACCAGGCGGCTCTGTGAGCGTCTCAGGCACCTGCTGTGAAGCGGGGAACCCCAGAGAGAAGCAGCTTCACCCAGTCACCGCACCCCCGGCCCCGCCTAAACTCACACCTACAGCCAGTCCGGGGGGATTCCCGAGAGACCAGGAAGGACCACGCAGAAACTAGCCAAAGGCCACACAGACAACAAGATAAAGACGGAAGCAAGGAGCCACGGGAAGAAGCAAAGGGCAGGTGAAAGACTCCTCCCCAGAAAAGTGTGAAGATAAAGCGGATTAAGATCACAGCAGCCCTGGCCGGTCTGGCTCAGCGGTTGGAGCGCCGGCCTGCGGTCCGGAGAGACCCGGGTTCGGTTCCCGCTAAGGGCACGTACTTCGGTTGCAGTTTGTCCCCGGCCCTGGTTGGTCGGGCGGGTGGCAGCCACTCGATATGTTCCTTTCACGTCAATGTTTCTCTCTCTCTCTGTTCCTCTCTCTCCCTCCCACTCTACCTGAACAAAAAAATGGGAAAATGTCCATGGGTGAGGATTTAAAAAAAAAAAAAAAAAATCACAGCCAAGGCCCTGGCCAGTTTGGCTCAGCGGTTGGAGCGTCGGCCCGCAGACCAGAGAGTCCAGGTTCGGTTCCCGCGAAGGGCACAGACCTCGGTCAGTTTGTCCCCGGCCCCGGTTGGGGTCATGTGGGTGGCAACCACGCCATGTGTCTCTCTCACATGGATATTTCTCTCTTTTCCTCCTTCTCTCCCTCCTGCTCTATCTGAAGAAAAATGCAAAAATGTCCTCGGGTGAGGATTAAAAAAATAAAAGATCACAGCCAAAGACATTTCCAAAAATTCAAATATCTGTTTTAAAAACACAGCCGTGGTCAGACAGGGGGAAGTGACCGGATTACATGGAAAGACAAGAAGAACTCGACCCGCATTAGCCACTCAGCAGCACGTTGAGAACGTCTCCCCGTCAGTGAGCGTGGGACTATATCGCATACTGAAAGCTGCAAAAGGGAAAAAAAAAAGAATAAAAAAAAATTCTCTGGGTCTTCTGGCCAAAAAAAACAAACAAAAACACAGCCCCCATTACCCTTTGTTTTGGACTGAACTACGTCCCCAAAAATTCGTGCCGAGCCCCCAAACCCGAGGGCGACTGCATCTGGAGGAGGGGTCTCCAGGGAAGTAAGGTTAAGCGAGGTCATCAGGCTGGGCCCGAACTGGGCAGGACTGACGTCTGCTGGAAAAGGAAGAGACACCGGAGAGCTCGCTCGCTCACGTGGACAGAGGAAAGAGGCCATGAGAGGTCACCGCAGAAGGTGGCCACCTACACGCCAGGGAGGCAGGCCTCCCCAGACACCAGCCTCAGGGCACCCCGACCTTGGGCCTGTCCAGAGCCCTGAGGAAACTACGTCCGCTGCCGCAGCGCCGGCCAGTGGCACAGTCCGCGCCATCCAAGACCCTCAGGGCGGGAGCCGCACGGCAGCCCGGCCGTCAGCACACCGTCGCTGGCCGCCGGGCCACACGGGCCACACGGGCCACACTCAGGCGTCACAGCAGGAAGCTACGCGCCAGGAGCTGTACACCGGGCCACACTGCCGTCGAGTGCGTTGCGAGAACAGGGATCTTCAAACAGGTAAGATTCCCGAGCCCCGCGTGGATTACCTGTTGGGGGATAAACTACAGCCAGACAGGAGAGCGCAGAGCACCGCCGGAGACTGACCACGCGCATGGACTCCAGCTAGCGGTCAGACTCGAGTTTTCTTTTTCCTTTTTTTTTTGGTGAATCCTCATCCAAGGATATTTTTTCCATGGATTTTTAGAGAGAATGGAAGGGAGGAAGGCAGAGGGCGGGGGGGAGAGACAGACAGACAGACTGACTCACTGAGTGGCAGGGAGAGCTGCCAGGAGGGAAAGGTTACAAAGGTGTGAAGAGTATAAACAGGCCTGGCCGGTGTGGCTCAGTGGTTGAGCGTCGACCCTGCACCAGGAGGTCGCCGGTTCGATTCCTGGTCAGGGCACCTGCCCAGGGTGTGGGCCTGATCCCCAGTGGGGGACATGCAGGAGGCGGCCAATCGATGTTCTCTCTCATCGATGTTTCTATCTCTCTAAAAAATAAATTTTAAAAAACTTTTTTTTTTTTTTTAAGTATAAACAGGCCCTGGCTGGGTGGCTCCATGGGTTGGACCATCATCCTGTGCACTAAAGGTTTCGGGTTCGATTCCCGGTCAGGGCAGATTCGCTCATACCTGTGGTGACATCATCACAGCAGACACAACCCGCAGCCTACCCCGTGCCCATTCTCCCTTCCGCCTTCTGACTGACCACTGAGCGATCACAGGAGGCAGGGCAGGCCCGGGGTCAAGCCTGTCCCTGTGGACGAGGATGACGAAGTGACTGCGTGCTGGCCAGTAAGAACCGAAAGCTGATGGATCCAGCCTCCAGGAAAGCTCCTTACGAGGCCGAGGGTGGACTTGAGTAGGAGTCTCCCTCTGCCCCTGACCCCGTCTTCTCCTGGAACGCAGAGGTGCCGACAGGGGCTGCAGCAGCCACCTTGTGACGATGAGGCATCCTCGGAATGCAGCCACAAGCTAAACACACAGGAGCACAGAGGTCCCTGATGACACCGGGGAGCTGCCAGGCCGGCACTGGCCCCTACCACAAATTCAGCAACACAGCCCCACCTGGTTTAAACTACTGTTTTCTATGCTTCTACCAAACAATTCATCTGTGAAAGACTAGCATGAAAATCCACAGACTTCCATTTAAGGGACGTTCACAGTACAGTTAGGCCCCGCCCCGGCTCTGGAACCCAATTCTACAGTACTGAGCACACATCCTCATGGGTCGGGAACCAGGATCACAAAGCCACATCTTCCTCAACCCTCCATTTCTTCGGTTTACTACCAAGGACTGTTCCTTGGGGAGGCCGATTTAAATAAACCTTTCCCAAACCATTATTTATAACAAGCTCTAACTTGGAGGTATTGCGTTTTCATTTTTTAATCCTCAAACATATTAAAACATCACACAAACGCAAGCTGCGTAAACATGTTTGTTCGTAACAGTGGTGAAGTATCATCTGGTATTGATTCCAAAATGAATGAACTGGTCCCTGCCATAAAAACCAATCCATATTTCTGCACAAAGCCAGCACACTGAACACAGGTACCTAATACTGCCCCACTCCCCCCTCTCTGTGACTGCAGCAAATAAAACTATTAAAAACCCATCAGTGCTCAAGGAAGTGGGGCTGGGAGGAGATGACAGCATCGGGCCACCAGGAGCCAACTGAGCAACCAGGAAGCAGACCACACTCACAGGCGGCCTGGGGCAGAGCAGCTCCCACCTCCCCGAGGGGCAGAGAGGGACCAGCACTGTGCATCAGGACACGCCGTGTGGGAAGGTTCACTGCACTGTGCACCTCACCGGGCAAGGGCTGCCCCCAGTGCTGGCAGACAAGATCTCTGGGTGTGGCTGGGAGGGTGCTGCTGGAGAGGCTGGTGTTCTGCAGACTGAGTGAGGCGATGTCCCCTCACCACATGGGGGGCACCATCCGTAATCCACTAGGGTCCGAATGGAACAAAAGGAGGAGGAAGGGTGATACTCCCTCTTTATTTGTCCTCCTTTTTGCTCAACTATTCAAAATTTCCAAATCTCTTCTTAAGTTAAAACTCAATTTCCCCGCCCAGCACAGTGTCCCCTGGACTAGGACACCCAGCACAGCGGGCCCCTGGATTCTGCCACCCGGCACCCCAGGTTCTGCTCCTCGGCACCCCGGCCCACTGCGCTCAGATCCCCAGCTCCGGGGCCCCTGCGCTCTGATCCCCGGCTCCGGGGACCCCTGCGTTCTGATCCCCGTCTCCGGGGACCCCTGCGTTCTGATCCCCAGCTCCCCGGCCCCCTGCGTTCTGATCCCCGTCTCCGGGCACCCCTGCGTTCTGATTCCCAGCACCCCGGGATCCTACGTTCTGATCCCCGGCACCGGCGTCCCCTGCGGTCTGATCCCCGGCACCCCGGAGCCCTGCGTTCTTATCCCCGGCTCCCTGGCCCCCTGCGTTCTCATCCCCGGCACCCTGGCGCCCTGCGTTCTGATCCCCATCTCCCAGGCCCCCTGCATTCTGATCCCCGGCTATGGGGACCCCTGCGTTCTGATCCCCGCCTCCCAGGCCCCCTGCGTTCTGATCCCCGGCACCCCGGCATCTTGCGTTCTGATCTCCGGCACCGGCGTCCCCTGTGTTCTGATCCCCGACTCCCTGGCCCGCTGCACTCTGATCCCCGGCTCCAGGGAACCCTGCGTTCTGATCCCCGGCACCCTGGCCCCCTGCGTTCAGATCCCCGGCCCCCTGTGTTCAGATCCCCGGCCCCCTGTGTTCTGATCCCCGGCACCCTGTGTTCTGATCCCCGGCTCCCTGGCCCCCTGTGTTCTGATCCCCGGCCTCCTGTGTTCTGATCACCGGCTCCCAGGCCCCCTGCGTTCTGATCCCCGGCTCCGAGGACCCCTGCGTTCTGATCCCCGGCCCCCCGGCCTCCTGCGTTCTGAACACCGGCTCCGGGGACCACTGCGTTCGAATCCCCGGCTCCCTGGCCGCCTGCGTTCTGATCACCGGCACCCTGGCCCCCT